AGAGTTGAAATCCACTCATCTTAAACTGGCCAAGTTTGGACAACACTGCCATAATGTATAACTCTCTCTCCACTGGATTCCAGTGACTTTTTGCCCTCATTGTCACCTTTATTTCTGTTTTTGTTTTTTGTTTAATTGTGCCATTTAGCAGCCCAATTTCAGCAGTGGGTTTGCAAGGTGCCACAAATAGATTATTAGGAAGCTGCATGTAATTCACTGGTTGTCCACACCAGCTGTACTTGACCATTGCCGGGCTTCAAAACAAGGTACTTACTTTGGCAAGATTTGATACTCAACCCTCAAAGGTGATGGAAGCGAGACTGAACTATATCCATTACCAAGAACACTTCTGCATATCCTCAGGCACAAAGATGGCATCAACCACATGTTCTTCTGAGCTGTCCCCATACCATTCCTGGAACTCAGTACTAATCTCCCCTGTTATCAGCAGATGCTCAGGCTGATCCCATCACAAATTGTGCTTTTCCTATTAAGTGATTAATCCAGAAGATGTCGGGTCTAACAAGATTGATCCATGATTCCTACATTGGCTTATGAAGCCTGACAGTTCTTCTCCTTCTCATCTATGCCTCTTATGTCTATTTTTAACCAACTCCTATTTACTTTATCCACTTTATGTAAATTACTATTTCTCCCGCCATCCATGAATGTTAATTAATTATTTAAAAGTATTGTGAATGGAATACCTCCCTAATTCATTTGTTTTATTTATTGATTAGATTTATATTCCATCTATCCTCCAGAAGCTCAGGGTGATGTGTGTAGCAGTACCTCTTCTAATTATTCCTACAACCAACCTGTGAGCTTCCATGGCTATACAGTAGATGGACTTCAAGCTGGGTCTTCATGGATCAACACCGTGACCATTATGTCTCCTTGCCTAGGTTGGATTTCCTCACAAGGTTCTTGGATATTTTCTCCAGCTACCAGCATCCATGGTGGAAAAAATATGGCCACGTGTGACTCACAGCTGGGTGACTTCTGTAATAGGCTACCCATGAGTGTTAAAAGTAAAGTGTGCATTCATTAGCCTTGATTCAAAAGTGGAAGTGAAGCTGGGAGACAGCCAACAATCTCCAGTAAAGCTAAGGACATCTGACTCAGTTCTTTTTCATTCCAGGAGAAATTACATGCAAATCATACCAGATTTGTTATCCATGGCAGATAGAATCCATCCATCTAACCCGCCTGTAGAAAAACATAGCACAGAATGTTGTGGCATGTGAATGATTCTTCCCCACTCAACAATAACAGGGGATGACCAACATGCCTCTTCATTTTTCACCCAATCCAGGAACAACTTATCTACAAACAACCCTCAGATAGTCAGGAACATGTCTAAATGTCTGAACTCAAACATCACTTCTGAAACATGTAGATTCCTTCCCTTGAACAGGCACCCTGGCATAGTGCTAATTATATGGAAAAGAAACTCCACAGATGGGTCCCAAGCACACGGCCAATGCCAATTTATTGCTACATAAGAGAAGTCCTTTCTGAGGGAGGAATGTATTTTTTCTGCTGTGATGCAATATGGAACACTTTTGTGACGCCTTGAATCTACTGCGGCATCGATGTTTATGGATGAGAGTAACTATGTGCCAAAATCTGTAAGCACAACATTTTACTAATCTGGAAAGCGCCGTGAAAGTTTCATTGCTGTTTTCCTTGTGGACAGTTACCAAAAACCAGAAAGATTCTCTACCCAGTCTGATGCCTAGAGGCCAAAGGGGCCTCCTCACTGCCCACCACAAAAGCTTTCACTCTTGCTTCTCATCCTTCTGAATCGTTGTCACCAGACTATAGTTTTTGGTGACCAAAACTAATAAATATAAAGAAGAAATATTATTACCTATATTTTAATTCAAATGTAAATATAAATTAAATCCATTTTAGTTTTTCTCCCCCCCTTCAAAAAAAGTCACGCTTAAAAGGCATCCAAAGTTCCTACATGGAAGAATTTCAAGGGAAATATTGTCTGGACCTTTGGGAACTCCACAATTAAGATGACACTTGTCAGATAAATACCAATTGGGAAGTTTAAGTATTTTAAAGCTGCATCACCCATACTTATTTTTGCAGATTTTGTTTATTCTCCATCCCCCATCCCAGGGTTAATAAAGAGCTCCAGATAACTGCAAGGTTTCCTCACTCTATTGCAACCTTTTGATCAGTTCTAATAAAGGCATTGCCTAGCTGGGTGGCAAGATCCAGTGGGACTTTTTTGTAAGATTGGGGATATTTGGGCTAATATTTGGATGGAAGACCATCAGGGAATCCTCCAATTGTACAGTGGTCTGGGAAACAGGGAAAAAAAGAAGAAGAACAACCTGGAAGAAAACAGGTTGTTTTCTTCCAAATGACTTATGGACCGTTGCCAAGAAAATTCCCAGGACCTGTTCCAAAAATCATTCGCAGTGGACTTAAAGGAGAGTTTACCTTTAATAAAGGTATTGTTCAACCAACTAATAACAATAATAACAGGAGCACCTTGGTGCACGACGTCTTAGGGTAGCCTCCCTTTGCTTTCGTTTTTTTTCACACTTTGCTTTGGGGGTCCTAAAAATACTGGGCCTGGGCAGCTGCGCGAGGCCCCCCTGTCAAGGCGAAAGTTTCCATTGGCAGGATTGCGCCATCAACTACCGTGGCCAAAGCAATCCCCC